TCTATGTCCCAGAAAGAACATATCCTGTGAATAGTAGGTGAAATCCCTACCCTGGGGGTGTGTGATCCTCCAGCAGTCCACTAATTGGTTAGCATGGAGAGCCCTCTGAAGTAGCATTGGTTGGTGCAGTTGTGTGTCTCTGCCGTCAGGAAACTAGACCTTCAGCTTATGATGTATACATTATAGATCCATTAATACATATAAGACATTGTAACATTATAGCTTATCCTCAAATATTAACTAATTACTTTTGTAAGATAATCCTGGTTCTGCCGTGGTCAAAGCCCTTCTCGGCCCTTTGGTGTATCACGGGTCTCGACCACGCAGAACTATAGAAATGAAAATAATAATAAACATGGCTTCAAACATAAACATAATCAGGGTATTGAACTGGGCACCTTGGCGGCATTGCAGAGTTAGAGGATGTACTGAGTTCCTTATGGCGGTCGGGTCACCGTGCTTTTTGGGGTTGCAGATAATACCATCCAAAGGGGGTCTGTCATTGTCTCTGAGCCCAGTGCTTTTTGAAATACTAGGACATCTGTGGGAGAAGTGATTGAGTGTGTATTCGCCTGATGGACCACCACCAGTGCAAAGGGATAATGCCAACGGAACTGCATGTTGCGCTCGGTCAATGCCCTCTCTGTGCAATTAGTGTGCATTGTGCTAAGTCTTGGAAGATCATTATCTTGTGGTTACCATATGTGATTTCTCTAACCTGTCTAGCCTTTTGTAGGATTGACTCCTTAAGGGGAAAATAGTGGAGGCGACAAATAATGTCCCTTGGCTTTTCATGTGGTAGGGCTCTCGGCCTGACTGCTCTTTGTGCCCAGTCAAATTTGATAATGGTGTCTTGTGGCCTATCTAGGACCCGGTTGAAAAGGGTTGTGAGAATTTTTTTATATTCTCCTGTTCTCAGTCAGGTGCCTGAGGAAGGCTCTCACCCTGAGGTTGTTGCACCTTTTTTCATTGTAAAAATGATATAGCTTCAGTGTGGGATTATACGAGGGTGTGCACATTAAAATGTTGCAGGGCCGTTATTTCCCCTTCATCCTCAAGTGTCTTCACCCTGGTGCCAATGTGGCCTACCTCTTCGCAGAGTGTTTGTAGTTTTTCTCCAAAACTTTTCTCCATTTTTGAAAACACCACCTCAAGGTCAGTCTTGGAAGGTAATTGTGTGAGGAGTGTTTTCAAATCAGCACCTTCCATCGAGCTGTCTGAAGGTGCCGGGCTCGCTGATGCACTACTGATCGGAGATTTCCTGGCCGTTGCCATTATGGATCGAGGATCCGGCTCCGATTTCACAGTAAAGAATCGCCTCAAGTAGGTCTTGGAGGAGGTAAGGGCTGTGGAAGAGGTATTACCAGCTTGTGTCTTCGATCTCTTCGTTGCCATGTCTCTTAAATCACCAGGATTCCTATTGATTAGTCTTGTTCTGAGCGGAGCTTGGCTTTCATGCGGCCATTCACTCCGGTGTCTAAGCCACGCCCCCTGGATTTTTATTTTGTTCAACGTAAACATGTGCTGCGTTTGCTAGTGATTTATGAGTGGATGCTCCCTGTGTTGAGGATATAAGGGGGTGTAGTGTGTGTAGGTGTACAGACGACTGGTGGGAGGAGGCAGCATGGAGTCCCCAGCTGTACAGGCAGCATGGGGGCAGAGGAGAGGCTAGAGTGAACTGCTACTGCATGCTCACTCCCATCAGCCTCAGCCAGGACCAGAGCACCATGCAAGCCATCCTTCAGGAGACAAAGGTAAGTAAACAGGAGTGTATCTGAGTGTTTGTGTCAGTGTGTGTGTGTGTATCTTTATGTCAGTGTGTGTATCTTAGTGTTTGTGTTAGAGTGTGTATATCTGTATGTCAGTGTGTGCATCTGAGTGTCTGTGTCAGTGTGTGTGTATCTGTATGTCAGTGTGTGTATCTGAGTGTATGTGTCAGTGTATGTATCTGTGTGTCAGTGTGTGTGTGTATGTGTCACTGTGTGTTTCAATGTGTTTATCTGTGCCAGTGCATGTATCTCTGTGTCAAGGTGTTCATAGATGGTCGTGGGCTGTGTGTGTCTGTGTGGGCGGAGGGTGAGCACGTGGGGGTGGGTGGCGCCAAAGCTGGTGAAGCCACCTCCCTAAAATGCATTTTTGCAAGTTGGGATGTCTGCCTCCCTCAGCTGGAGCTTGGTAAATGGGTCCACCTTCATTGCTGGTGAGTAGGTTGAAGATGTTGCTGGGGACACTACCACACCACATGTCCTCTGCGGAGGCAAGGAGCCCTCATGGTGGGGACCAAGATCCCACCAGTCCATGGGGGTTCATGGAGGTCCACGGGGGGGGAGAACAGGGCTGGAACACCATGTAAGCGCAGATCAGTCACGTCAGGCTGGGAGTTCGGCCACCTCTCCCTTCCACAACGCACACTAGGCCTCACTCACAGGCGATGCAGATTACCTGTTGGGCAACCACAGACGACCTGCCAGAGGCAACCCCAGGCTGGTCATGCACTGTAGGATGCCAAGGTAGCTTAAGTTGCTCAAGATCAAAGGGCCAAAAGCACTGGCGACTGGACTAACTTGTTTGGAACGGAAGGAGCATGTAGAAAACACATCCAGTCACCATTGCAATCAGGCCCCACCCCCCGTTCTTTGTTTTTATATACCTCATAAGTGACAGGCAATCCAAAATCTTCAAGTACATGTCAATTAATTCATATTCTGTCTCCCTCAGGGGAGTCAGAGGTTAAAAAATAAAAAAATGCAATGATGCAAAAATGTAAAAAAAATCAAAAATCTGCACATGTCAGAAGAGGGGGAGGGGAACAAAAATATGAAGAAAAAAAACTTACAGTAACTCTGTCCTAACACTTTATTTAAATTTTTTATTTTTTGTATTTTTGTAGAAGAGCTATTCAGATTGCTTACCATAATAAAAAGGTGTCAGAAGATACTGTACATCACGGTTTGCTGCGTATGGGGTTGTGTAACTGTAACAATATGCAATGTCAATCTGCAGTTGCTATGGCCAGTAAGGTTTTGTCATGTATAAATAGGGGCAGGGGTCAAGTCCTGTGGAAAAAAGTGTGGGAACTCACCTAAGATTCCCGCCTCCCCCCCCCTTAAAAAAAAATTACATTCCTATGCATATAGTGCAGTGCAGGGTGTGTATAATGAATGTAGTGTGTTTGTAGTGAATGCAGAGTGTGTATAATGAATGTAGTGTGTTTGTAGTGAGTGCAGTGTGAATAATAATTGTAGTGTATTTGTAGTGAGTGCAGAGTGTGTATAATGAATGCAGTGTGTTTTTAGTGAGTACAGTGTGTATAATGAATGTAGTGTATTTGTAGTGAGTGCAGTGTGTATAATAAATGTAGTGTGTTTGTAGTGAGTGCAGTGTGTATAGCGAATGCAGTGTGTATAGTGAATGTAGTGTTTTTGTAGTGAGTGCAGAGTGTGTATAATGAATGAGTGTGTATAGTGAATGTAGTGTGTTTGTAGTGAGTGCAGAGTGTGTATAATGAATGTAGTGTGTTTGTAGTAAGTGCAAATTGTGTATAATGAATTAAGTGTGTTTGTAGTGAGTGCAGAGTGTGTACAATGAATGCAGTGTATGTAGTGTGTTTGTAGTGAGTGCAGAGTGTGTACAATGAATGCAGTGTATGTAGTGTGTTTGTAGTGAATGCAGAGTGTGTATAGTAAATGCAGAGTGTGTATAGTGAATGTAGTGTGTAGTGAGTGCAGAATGTGTATAATGAATGCAGAGGGTGTATAGTGAATGTAGTATGTTTGTAGTGAGTGTATAGTTAATGTAGTGTGTTTGTAGTGAGTGAAGAGTGTGTATAATGAATGCAGTATGTGCGTGTGTTGGATGATGTGTGTGTGCGCACTGGATGATGTGTGTGTGAGTGCTGGATGATGTGTGTGTGAGTGCTGAATGATGTGTGTGTGTGTGAGTGCTGAATGATGTGTGTGTGTGTGAGTGCTGGATAGTGTGTGTGTGTGTGTGTGTGTGAGTGCTGGATAGTGTGTGTGTGTGAGTGCTGGATAGTGTGTGTGTGTGTGAGTGCTGGATAATGTGTGTGTGTGAGTGCTGGATAATGTGTGTGTGTGTGAGTGCTGGATGATGTGTGTGTGTGTTGGATGATGGGTGTGTGTGTGCTGGATGATGTGTGTGTGAGTGTTGGATGATGGGTGTGTGAGTGCTGGATGATGTGTGTGTGAGTGTTGGATGGTGTGTGTGTGTGTGCTGGATGATGGGTGTGTGTGTGCTGGATGATGGGTGTGTGTGTGCTGGATGATGGGTGTGTGTGTGCTGGATGATGGGTGTGTGTGTGCTGGATGATGGGTGTGTGTGTGCTGGATGATGGGTGTGTGAGTGCTGGATGATGGGTGTGTGTGTGTGCTGGATGATGTGTGTGTGTGTGTGAGTGCTGGATGATGTGTGTGTGTGTGTGTTGATGAGGAGTGCTGGATGATGGGTAATGGTGTGGAGTGCTGGATGATGTGTGTGTGTGCTGGATGATGGTATTTTGTGTGAGTGCTGGATGATGTGTGTGTGTGCTGGATGATGTGTGTGTGTGCTGGATGATGGGTGTGTGTGAGTGCTGACGATGTGTGTGTGATGGATGATGTGTGTGTGAGTGCTGGATGATGTGTGTGTGTGTGTGTGTGTGCTGGATGATGTGTGTGTGTGCTGGATGATGGGTGTGTGTGTGTGTATGGATGATGGGTGTGTGAGTGTCGGATGATGGGTGTGTGTGTGTGCTGGATGATGGGTGTGTGAGTGCTTGGATGATGGGGTGTGTGCTGGATGATGTGGGTGTGTGTGAGTGCTGGATGATGTGTGTGTGAGTGCTGGATGATGTGTGTGTGTGTGTTGGATGATGTGTGTGCGTGTGTTGGATGATGTGTGTGTGTGTGCGTGTGTTGGATGATGTGTGTGTGTGCTTGATGATGGGTGTGTGAGTGCTGGATGATGTGTGTGTGAGTGCTGGATGATGGGTGTGGGAGTGCTGGATGATGGGTGTGGGAGTTCTGGATGATGGGTGTGGGAGTTCTGGATGATGGGTGTGCTGGATGATGTGTGTGAGTGCCTGATGATGTGTGTGTGCTGGATGATGGGTGTGTGTGTGTGCTGGATGATGGGTGTGTGAGTGCTGGATGATGTGGGGGGAGGGCATTTTTAACTTTGCGTGTCTATATTTTTTTGTTTTATTCTCCCTGCTTCTTACCTTGTCAGGGAGGGGAGATCGCCTGGTGGTCCGTGTATGCTGAGGGAGGTCGCTGTACAGCTCTAACTCTCGCGACTCGCCTGTATGAGAGCGCTGCTGCGGTAACAGTACGCTGGTCAAGCGAAGGGATGGAGAGGAAATCACAGCGCGGTGCTGGCCTCAGTGCAGGTAGCAGGGCCGGTCCTGTGATGGGAACGCCGCTCCTGCTTTTGTGCGCAGGAACGCCGTTCCCATGCGTTCCTGCAGGACTCGAGCCCTGAATAGGGGCATACATTCTCGGGATGAAAATATAATTTTGCCTCTTTATAAATCGCTGGTAAGACCACACCTTGAATATGGTGTGCCATTTTGGGCACCTGTTCTAAAGAAGGATATCATGATACTAGAAAAAGTGCAGAGACGAGCTACAAAATTGATAAAAGGAATGGATCATTTTAGTTACAAAGAAAGGTTAAAAAAAATTGAAATCTCTTTAGTTTTGAAAAACGGCACCTCAGAGTGTATATGATAACATTATACAAATATATTCCGGGCCAGTACAAACCATTATATGGGAATCTATTCATAAACAGGGCTATACATAGGACACAAGGTCACGCATTTAGGCTGGAAGAAAGGAGATTTCATCTAAGGCAAAGAAAGGTTTTTTTTACAGTAAGAGCAATAAGGATATGGAATTCTCTGCCTGAAGAGGTGGTTTTATCGGAGTCTATACAGATGTTTAAACTGCAATTGGATAAATACTTGCAAAAACATAACATACAGGGATATAATTTCTAATTAGTGGGGTAATAGCTGCTTGATCCAAGGAGACATCTGACTGCTATTTTGGGGTCAAGAAGGAATTTTTTCCTAGTTTGCTGCAAAATTGGAAGTGCTTCAGACTGGGTTTTTTGCCTTCTTTTGGATCAACAACAAAAAGGCTGAACCTGATGGACGCAAGTCTCTTTTCAGCTATGTAACTATGTAACCCCTCAGAGTGCCTATGATGACCACTGTCCACCGGCAAAAGCGCCTTCAATTGGGATGTGAGCGTCATAACAAAAGAAAGGAAGGAAGTTGCCTGGTCTGATGCATAATATTTTTATTTAGATCAGCTGGATGGCTGGGAAAGAGATGACAGCAGGATGCACAATGGGAAGGCAGGCTGGTGGAGGCAGTGCTATGCTCTGTGCAATGTTTTGCAGGGAAACCTTTTGTTCTGGGCCTTCATGTGACTGTTACTTTGACACATACCATTTACCTAGAAATTGTTGCAGACCACGTATACCCCATCATGGCATTGATGTTCCCTGATGGCAGTGGCCTTTTTCAGCAGGATTACACACCCTGCTACACTGCAAAGATTGTTCAGGAATGATTTCAGGAACATGACAGAGCTTAAAGGACCACTCTAGGCACCCAGACCACTTCAGCATAATGAAGTGGTCTGGGTGCCAGGTCCTTCTAGGGTTAACCCATTTTTTCATAAACATAGCAGTTTCAGAGAAACTGCTATGTTTATCAATGGGTTAAGCCTTCCCCATTCCCTCTAGTGGCTGTCTCATTGACAGCCACTAGAGGCGCTTGCGTGCTTCTCACCGTGATTTTCACAGTGAGAGCACGCCAGCGTCCATAGGAAAGCATTGAGAATGCTTTCCTATGTGACCGGCTGAATGCGCGCGCAGCTCTTGCCGCGCGTGCGCATTCAGCCGACGGGGCGGATCAGAAGAGGAGAGGAGGCAGAGAGCTCTCCGCCCAGCGCTGGAAAAAGGTAAGTTTAACCCCTTTTCCCCTTTCCAGAGCCGGGAGGGAGGGGGTCCCTGAGGGTGGGGGCACCCTCAGGGCACTATAGTTTGATCCCGCAATCCATGAACCCGTTTAGTCGCCCTTCTCTGAACCCTCTCTAAGGTATCAATATCCTTCTGAAGATACGGTCTCCAGTACTGTGTACAACACTCCAAGTGAGGTCTCACCAGTGTTCTGTACAATGGCATGAGCACTTCCCTCTTTCTACTGCTAATACCTCTCCCTATACAACCAAGCATTCTGCTAGCATTTCCTGCTGCTCTATTACATTGTCTGCCTACCTTTAAGTCATCAGAAATAATCACCCCTAAATCCCTTTCCTCAGATGTTGAGGTTAGGACTCTATCAAATATTATGTACTCTGCCCTTGGGTTTTTACGTCCAAGATGCATTATCTTGCACTTATCCACATTAAATGTCAGTTGCCACAATTCTGACCATTTTTCTAGTTTACCTATATCATTTGCCATTTGGTTTATCCCTCCTGGAACATCAACCCTGTTACATATCTTAGTATCATCAGCAAAAAGACATACCTTATCATGAAGACCTTCTGCAATATCACTAATAAAAATATTAAAGAAAATGGGTCCAAGTACAGATCCCTGAGGTACCCCACTGGTGACAAGTCCAAGCTTCGAATATATTCCATTAACTACAACCCTCTGTTGCCTGTCACTCAGCCACTGCCTTACCCATTCAACAATATTGAAATCCAAACTTAAAGATTGCAGTTTATTGATAAGCCTTCTATGTGCAACAGTGTCAAATGTGCCACCCTGCTCCCACTATGTCCCATATGCACTCACCACATCCCTTATATCTTACTGCAGCCCCTATGCACCCACTATCTCTGTAGTATGCTCAGTTATCTGTATTGTAGGAGTATACTACTGAATAGGGAGGAGTAAAATTAAGGGGGATGAGTCTGGCACCTCTCCATCTTAAAACTTTGCATACATGCAGAGCTGCAGAACAAGCCTCCCTCTCATACAAATAATACAAACAGCCCACACACAGTCCCAACAAACACAGCGAAACTGACAATCAACATACACACACAACCCCACAAGCAATCTCTCACTTGCAATACCACAAGCAACCTCACGCATACACATACTACCAAACAAAATCCACAAGATATCATCCACACACACAATTTCACAAGCAGCCTCCATACACAGCCCACATTCAGTTATCATACACAATATCACAAACTATTCATGGACATATACAATATAACAGCCCACATACAAACAAATACAACGCTAAAAAGAACTGCTGCACTCAAACAACTCAAGCAAAATACGGCAACATACACACCTCAATTTAAAAAAAAGGAAACATGGGATCGTCAGGGGACTTCAAGATCTTGTTTTGGCACAGTATTACTAAAATGTTGCCTACCCTTGTCTTAGATGATGCCATTAAATGCTCCAGCAGGTTTGCTTTTCAAATGTTCTTGATTTTGCCGTTAACAGCACAGTTTTTATCTAATTGTTGATTTGAGTTTTAAGATTGGCGAGCAGTGTGTTTATTTTTCTGATTTTATAATCCACAGTTTTAAAGAGGACTACTCTGGCCAATCTGTAAACTCAGATTCATAATGGATTTCGTTTACTTAATGTTTATATGGTTATAACTGGTGTGTGACCAAACAAGCTAAAAGATAAAGCTAACATGTGTGATTGATGATAAGGTTCTGTTACTTGTACAGTGCAATCTTTTTAGTTTTACAGCAGAACATATGTAATGGAACAGCCTGTGATTCTTTGGTTAAAATAGTCTAAAGTTATGTTTATACTTAATGTGCTTTTTTTTCCTCCAGTCCCTAATTCTACATGCATTTAAGTGATATATTGGATACTGTCATTTGATATATTGGGCATAAACTATTTGGATTTTATGCTGGGTTATCACTTACAAAAGTTACTATTATGTTTCATTTGCAGATCTCAAGTCTTTCTTGGTCATAAAAAAAAATAAAAATTCAAGAAATCATGTTTCCATAATTATCCCAGCTCGACATTTAAATGAGCAGAGATGAGCATTGTGTATCAGACTTCATACTGCTTTTCTGCAAATACCCTTAGCAATGGACACTGTTCTAAACACATTTTTTTTTTTACTTTTCACTGGACAGTAAAATTACCTCCCTCTCAACCATTAAATAGCAATCTACTTTTCTACCCTACCCTTACCTTTTGTGTCACTTTACCCCACTCTATCAAGAATGTAAGCTCATTTGAGCAGGCCATTCAACCCCCTCTGTTCCTTTGCATTCAACTTGTCTGTTTTCAGTTACGTTAGTTGTCTTAGTCCAACCATTGTGCAGCGCTGCGGAATTTGTTGGCGCTTTATAAATAATAATTTGATAGCATGACATAATAGCATAATTCTATTTGCTTAAGCCTCTCTTTACTAGAACTCCACAGCAGCACATTAACATAGAGAGAAAAACTCCAATCACAAAAAAGTAAGGAATCCATAAAAGGCTCCTCCCAACCAACTATTTCCTCTTTCTTTGCTGCTCCACACCAAGAACAGGTCAGAGTACCACTGCCTCCTGTTACTTTGGGCGGTTGTGGTTTTACTGTACTTTACTGTATTTCTGTGGTTTTTGTTGTATTGATTTTAGTTTTTATTATGATTTGACAAGTGTTTGTTCTTTATGCTGCCCCCTGCTTGGGCTTTTG